AAACATACCCAATATTGGCAATTTGTAGCTTTAAGATGACTGCACGAAATAGAGACCATCCCAGACGAATTCTGGGTTTGAAAGACAAATCCAGATTCTGCCTTGTCACCACTCTATGTGTCATCGTTAGGACAACGATTCTGTAGCAACAAAGGGGAGTGTTGCGATCAGCCTGCACATGGATAGTTCACTTTGTTGGCTACATTCTTCGAACTTTATGAAACTTCTAATGGGAAGGATCGGTTGTAACGTCATTTATATAGTACGAAGTTGAAGGGACCGAGAGCTGATTATTAACAATTATTCATCATTTATTATTTTATTTGATTGATTCGGAAATGATGAATTTGGGATCAAATTGCTCACGTTAATTTTATTATTACAAGTATAAGCTGGCTCGAATTTCAAATACGGAGTATTTTATTATTCTTGGCAAAAAGGAAACTTACTTATTAATGATAAAAGCTAAGTATTTAGAAATAAAGTCATTCAATAGCTCAAGAATACACGTACTATGATGAAACATGGAATCAACTGGCCTTTAAGGACCAAAGAAATCCGCTAATCCCACAACTATGTAATACTCCGTATAATCTATGACACTACTCCCAGATATACTATAAAAAATTACGTGAGTGACACGCAAAATTACGATTTCTTGTCAAATAGCTTGTGACAAATTGTTTTTGAGATAGATTTGGAACATTCCTTTCAAATCCTATATGAATTTTGGCGATTCCCTACAAAAATATATGTCAATCTCATGTTATTTTCTTAGTGAAATAGGGGTGAACATATTGATTTCGATTCACTTTTACCAATTTTCGATTCAATTCAGTTTGAAATGGTTGGATAATTATGTTTCGAACCTAGTATTATTGTTTTTAGTGGATGTTTCATATTATTGTTGTGTACAAGAGTGTGTTCGTAAACATAGTACACTTGAGTAAGTTGAGTTACAAAAGATAATTACTCACCGGTGGGCGTAGCTCAACTGGTAGCGAGGGAGTGCCACAAGGGTTAGGTCTCGAGTTCGAACCCCGGCAACTGCGATAAGGGGTTACTATGCTGAAAAATGCATAGGGCCTCTGCAAGTACCGGGGACGGATCCCCACTCTCTATCTATCAGGCTGTGATTATAGTCCAACTTACATCCCCCCATCGTGCTGTCCGGTCGGTGTTGGGAAGCCCTCAGGGATGGGGTGTCATCCTTTTTTTTTTACAAAAGATAATTACTCCCTCCGTCCCATTTATATTGTCTCATTTTACATTTTCGGGAAGTCCCACTTAAATTGTCCCATACCATATTTGGCAAAGTTTGTGTGGCTCTAAATCATTCTTACTTTATCAATTAATATCAACCACACAAATCCACTTTTCTTAATAATCGTGTCACTCACTTCCGGGATAATATAAATGGGAGGGAGGTAGTATCATCTAACAAACTCTATATCATTGTAAAAATTCCTCCCTGCCTATGTAGAAGACCTAAACACACATTTTTGCTTGGCAAATTTTCGGTTAATGATATTGGGCCCAAGACAAAGAACACAACCTATTGCGGATCAGCCGTGACTATGAATATTACTGCAGTCTTACCTACATAGACCTATTACAATTGAACACTTTAAATATTACTATATCCGTCCCCCTAAGTTTGGGACAAGAGAAGGTGACACGGTTAATAATAAAAGTGAGTTTATGTGGTTGGTATTGAATTGATAAAGTAAGAATAAAGTAGGAATGATTTAGAACCACACAAACTTTACCAAATAAGGTATGAGACAATCTTAGTGGGACGAACCAAAATGGTAAAATGGGACAATCATAGCGGGACGGGGGGAGTAACAAATAATGATAATTTAGATCAATAGAATATGAAGTATATTGTAGATAGTGTAGGGAAAAACACGACCCCCGATCTCTTCAAGGATCACGAGCTCAAAGGATTGTTTTACACTTACCCACACTTTCGCAATACAAAAATTCAATCTGATAATATCACTTTGTATTATACAATTGAAATGTACAAGAACTATTTTACAAGTAAACGAGCAGCTTACTTCACTCCTTTTATATGAGACTACTTCACTCTTACACCCCTATCTCAAGGAGACTTTGAATCACTCAAAAGTTCTCTTCAAGTCTCTCTATCATCACTCTAGGAGGCTCTAAAAAAGCTCTCAAAAGGCTCTCACTCAAGGCTTTCTTCAAAGCTCTCTCTCATAAATAGGAGTGACACCTTCATTGCTATGAGTGGGCCTTGTGAGACTCGTCATTCCTAGCTTAGGGTGAGGGGTGACACTCCTCATTCCTGGATAACTCCACATTTCAACGGTGAGGGGTGACACTCCTCATTCCTAGATAACTCCACATTTCGTCTAAGTGTTCTAGAGACTTTCACACATTTCCACACAGTTTTAGAAGATTTCACATTCTTTAGAAAACTCTACAATATTTTAGAATATTTTACACTCTTTCACACGCTTCTTGATAATTGCACGTCTCTCTAAAGAGCTTTAGAATATTTTAGAACATTCAAGATTTGTCTACACACATGTAGAGAATTTTAGACATCTTTGTGATATTGTAGATTTTTCATTAAATTCTCAATTAAGGAGGGAACATAATGGATAGACATCCTCATTTATTTGTTAAGTAGTGTATCGTTATATAATCTTGATAGTAATATCACATCCTACAAAAGCACAGATACTTCACTAGAGTGTCGTATAGGCGTATTGGAAATGTTCCCGTATCCGGTACTCTAGAATACCCGTACCGTACGTTACTGGGCCGTATTTGCAATTTTTAAAAGTTTTTCATTTTTTTGTAATTATTTTAAAATTTCGGATACTCGTATCCTTACGAATACACGTATCAACTTTTTTAAAAAAAATCTTCCAAGCAAAACTTAAAAAAAAAACACTGAAAATTTACATAATAAAAAATTCTTAAAAAAAAAGAAAAGCTAAAAATAACTTTTACCTTGGTTTATGTGGTACACAACTAATGAGCCTATTCCTAATTCACTCATCCTCCTATCCTCAATTCTAATTATCCCTAGAAATTAATTGCTTCAACGGAAATATGCATTAAAACTGTTAAAATAATGTTTTTTATCTTCATTATTCTAGAACTTTGAGTACTTGCACTTTTAATTTCAAAAATGTAATTGTTTGACTTATTTCTCATTTTAAATTAATGCCTTATTGACTATATTTATATTTCGAGATGCATTAGTGTATATAAGATAAAATATGAATTTATTTCTAAGTATCTTGAAAATGTAAAATGCTTGAATGCCATGAATAGATAGACGTTAGAGGATAATACATGTGTTTTTCTTAAATGTATTTTTAATATTTATAAATACACCCATATAACTTTTAATATTTATAAATACATACACCCCCATAACTTTTAATATTTATAAATATAGTCTCGTGTTCGTATCCTATTTTTTTTGTTTTGAGGTATCCATGTAAGTGTTTCCGCGTTTCCGAATACGTGTATCAGTGCTACATAGCGTATAACCAAATCCAAGAGAACAAATTTTATGAATTTTGTCATCTCAAGTTACAAACTACTTCCATAAATCGTGTACGTTTATTTGATTGTCGATAACCACTATCACTATTAACAACCCCCACCAAAATTGGTATACGCATCCTATGGAGACTCCAAACTAGCACTAAAATCTCGATCGTTTGAAAACTTCCAACCCTGAGATAGGTGGAAATGCAGTGATCATGAATAAAGAGAAGGATAGAAAAGTTTACTGTAAAAAGAAAAAGAAAGGAGGTGAAGGATTAAAGATTCACACTTTAATGATGATGATCTGACTGCCATTATCAGTAAACACCACTACGCCAACATTCTTCACCCATCCGTATTCATGTCAACCCCCACTAATCACGGGCACACCTCTACTATCATTAATGTCAGATCTTTCATTCTCTACGTCATCCCAACATTCAAACAAAAATACCAACATCATAATGTTTGTGCCACGATGATTAAGAAAGTGAGAATTATGTGGTGGAGAGTTGTGCAGAAGAGAGAGAAACGCTGTGAATTACAAATTCTTTGCCAAAAAGGGAAAGTGAAGTTATTTTTGGGACGGACGAAAATGAAAAGTTGAAAGTAAATTTAGGGACAGAGGGAGTATAATAATGAGGAGAATAGTAAAATTGATCGATTACATTATGTGTTTGAAAGAACGAATACATGGGAAAAGTTGGTATATCATATTATGTGAATTGAACTCTCTAGACTCGGGGAAAACAGGGCCGGCCTTGAGATGTCAACAAGGGCGACTGCTCTAGGTCTCAAAAACTAGAAATGTTTCACAATATTATACTAGAACTTTTTTGTGTGCAGATGTCTTTTTGTGATGCTTGTATGGTTACTTTTACTCAAATATTTTATGTATTTATTAAAATTCAAATGAGTTTCGCCTTTATTTTATGACATTTATTAGATAGTTTTATAATAATTTCTATTTAAAGTTAGTACCTTTTTATTGTATATCTTGGTTATAAGTGTGAGACAGTATTTCTGTTAAAGTCTCACACTGGAAACATCTAAATCAAATAAAGTGTTAATGTGTTATATTAAGATTTGAGCTACTTCTATCATATTGACCTTTTAGGATGGAACTCCCAGATCTTAACAATAGTTCACGAGGAAAAAAATGCTACAATTGAAATGGTAGTGGGATGAATTTAGCTCATCTAATTACATGAAACACGTAAAATTTACATACAAAACACACTTCATGAACTCTGTATCATTAAACTTTGTTAACTTTCCTTCTTTTATACTACAAGTTCATCATTTTCCATTTAAATTAATTAGTTATGGTGGTTCAATATTTACCTTAAATCTCAATCATAAAATATTTAGTTTACATATATATTTCAAACATAAGACCAAACTTTTAAGATGTCCAATAGGATGGGGTAGAATGTTTAACACGAACAATTCAAGACAGATTTTGAATAATGAGGACGAAATATTGATAAAATTTAACATGAAATGAAAAGAATGACTAATATGAATTAGTTGTGTGGATTGTATTGAGATGAAATGGATACAAACACAGCCTAACTGAAGAATGAGATGATATATGGATAAATACTTCGTGTGATAATAAAAACTATTGCGACCCTGATTTTCTAGATTATACATCATTCAATCTTAATCCTTCAACCTTCAATACATTAATAAAACACACCAAAAAGTATCAGAACATATAGTAAATCGAACTGAATGGATGATACTATTGATTAAGAGTTTGATCTAGCCTGGGGTTGGTGAGACCTTCACCATCTAGTGAAAGCTGTTTCAACCATTCAAACGTTCGATTACGAGACATAGAATTCCTTCCTGCTCCAACTCCATCCTTCTTCTTCTTCTTCTTTTTCATTTCCCGGACATTATTCTCGGATGTCAGAGGAGTAGTTTCAACTGAATTACCAGAACACTTGCAGCTGTCGAAAAATCCCAAATTTCTGTCGACAAAGATCCGTTTCAGCTTCTTGGTGACGTTACTTCTGCTGTCGTCCACGCTGCTTCTGCCGCTTTCGCTGCGGACAAATTTGTAAGAGTTCTTGTTCTTGTTTCTGCTTCTGACCCGGCTGAAGCTCTGTGACCCTGTTTCGGGTAATGTCACCAGACCTACCCGAAACAAGGTCCACAGAGCCAAAGAGCCCCGGGAATGTTTACTGGACGGAGTGGCGTGTGCGTGTGAAGAAGTCGTCTTGGAGATCCGGATATGGGGGGTCGGGCTGGGCTGGGAAAACTGGAACCGGTTCCAGGCTCTCACCGGAGGCTTGCCGTGTGCGGCGGCGCCGGCCGATGAAGCGGCGCTGCTGGAGGACTGGTGGCTTCTTGTGCTGCTGCTTCTGCTGCTGGCGCTCGTCGTGCACCCGGCGGAGCGGCACCGTTCGAAGGAATTGCACCGGAGGATGGCCGGAGCCGAATCGGCGCTGACGGAATGTCGCCGGGGGAGAGGCAGAATCTGGCCCTGGAAGAACAGTTCGTCGGCAACACACATCTCGGAATCCTTCATGGAACCGGCGATAGAGCAGAAATCGAATTCCTCCTCCCTAGCTCCATCGCCGGGAGGAGGAGAGTATTTATGGAATTGGGTTTCATGATTTTCATTTGGAAGATCGCTCAGTGATAACGCTTCCTCTTCTTCTTCTTCTCCACCATTTTCTATATCTTGCTCTGCCTTCTTCTTCTGATCAGGGGAATTCGAAAGAACCCATTTCTTTTCGCTGGGCCTTTTCCCTCCCATAATAATATAGATCAAAGCTTCTATCAATTCGAGATGCAGAAATTCTTTCTAGTTTAGGAATGGTTTGAGTTGAGAGAAGTTTAGCTTTCAGCTGAGCGTGGAGACTGCAGGGCTGACCTCTGCTTGCTTTTTACTCTTCCAAACCATTATATATTGTGAAGACTGAAGATTCCTACGAGACTACAGTGGGGGACTACTTTTCTATCAGCATTATTACTATTATTATTATATTATTATTTTATTACGTGGAGTATAATTTATAATAATATTAGTATTATAATTATAACTATTATAATTATAATTTGGAATACTACTTCCGTCCCGAGAATGGGTACTAGAGAAAGCGGCCCAGTTATAAAAAAAATGAATTTATATGATTGATATCGATATTAATAAAAAGATGTGTCAGACATTTAACGACTAGCGAATAATGAATTATGTTAGTGAATTGTTATTAGCGAATTCAGTTAGTGGGCTTACACTACTGGGATAATTAAGTTGAATTGACAGAGTTGTAAAAAAATGTTTGGTGAATGATATATTTCTTAGAAAATTATTAAATAATGTAATATGAATATATTTTAAAACTAGTTTGGGTGAATATACACGATGTAAAAAAAATATTGACAAAAGAGTTATTGATGATAACTATGATGTTATATGTATTTTTTTATTCAATAATTAAACTATCATTTAAGAGTGTTAATTATTTCTTAAAATAGAAATAAATTTTTGATTAGATATCATAAGAAATTAAGGCTTGTGAAGATGTGACGCGAAAACATTAATCCGAGAATAAGTACAATTTTATACTACCTCCGTCCCATTTTATATGTCTCCTTCGACTTTGGCACAATTTTAATAAAGTGGTTGAAAAGGTAAATTTGTGGTTGCGATTTGTGTATAATAAAGTAAAATGATGTGAACCACATAATTCTTTCCAAAAAAGGAAAGGTGGCACTTATTTTGGGACAACCCAAAAAAAAGAGTAAGACAGATAAAATGGGATGGAGAGAGTAATTTGAAAAGTAAAATGGCAAAGGTCTTACAACGAGTAAATGCAAAAGAAATTGGTACTACCTCCGTCCCAATGAACTTTGCACTCTTTGAATTAGGTGAGAAATAATAATAGTGTAAAAATTATGTGATTGAAATTTGTGTAGAGGTGAGAAAAATGAACAAAACCACAAAATAGTTACTTCAAAAGGAAAGTGATAAATGTTTTTGGAACAACCAAAAAGAGAAAGTTGACAAAGTTCAATTGGACGAGTATAATTTATACTGATATAATGATTAGTTAGATAATAATTTGTGATTTTATTCCGTATGCATTTTAATAAAATTTACTCTGATCTAAAGATTATTAAGATAATTATTTGTGCTTCTTATTGTGTATGCATTTTACTAAATTGCAAACGAATGATGCATTAATGCTGCTGAAATTAAATTTTGTCATTAAACTTCAAAGTACTCCGTGAATATTTTGATATGACGTGCATTACGGATTGTTGACGGGCAATAATGAATTCTAATAATACCTCCGTTCTCTTTTAGTTGCAATATTATGGGACTTTTTACACTATTCACATCTTCTACTTTGACTACATTTTATTAATTGATGTATAATAAATTAAAATTTTAAAAATATTGTTAAATTCTTCATATTCTAAAATTTCAAAATATTTTTAAATCTTTTACTAATAGGGAATGAAAGATATTAATGGTCAAACATGTGCGTTGGTCAAACGGAGGAAGTATCTGATTTTGACTCGAATGTTCAAAAAATAAATAGAAAGAAACTTGCAACAGTTGTACAATGTGCTCCCTACTCGTCAAATTCATACAATCCTTAAGTACTCCGTATGTATTTGGGCCATTTGGCAATTCCTTGACATATTCCTAACTCTTTTCTGGCCGTCTCACTGTCCTATTATTATTATTCATATAATGATATAATAATATGCCATAATTATTATTAGTATACTCCGTATTATGGAGCATAGTTTGGTTCTATAATTTATAAATATAATGTCAATTATTAGTCAAATGATTTTAATCACTAGCGTATCATGTACTACGTAATCAATAATTTTCACGTATTACCGACTGTTTATTGAATCTGATTATCTACGGCAGAAAAATGCTCGTTGGCAACAACGTTTTCGACCGGTGAAGTTTCGCCAAAAATTGTACGTATCGTATATATGGAATTGATTTACATAAAACTATTATGAGATTATATTTTTGATGGTATTGAGAGATTAATTCCGTTAAAAAAAGAGATTAATTAATAATAATAATAATATACTATCGTAATAGACAAAGACAATAATTTGTAAGATCAGCAAATCTTCATGTTTTTTCAAGAATAAAACAATTCGCTCTAACCAGTTACCATGTATTGCGACAGATGAAAAAAGCCGACGCACAAACTTGTATAGGTCAACCAACAACTTCAGAATGACCAGAGCCAAATTTGTACAAATAATTTAAAAATATATAATTAAGAAGGAATTATGTTTATCAGTTTACACGAATCAAATTTCTACTAAAATACAACCTCTTAAATTGCAGGGTCTAGCTAGCTAACTTGCTTGGTGAATTGTCCTTTTCATCGGCGGATCGATGATCGAGGACCCAAAAAAGAAAAAATTATTTATGTTCCTTATTTTACATTATTTTTACACAACACAAGTTAGCTAAAAGCTAATTATTCCATGCGTTGACATATCTTGTGTGGCGCGCTAATACGCTATAGTGTAAATAACTTTTAAAAAAATAATGACACCGATACCATTTTTTTAATCATCAACTCCAACCTCTTCATTATTTCAAAGGGAAATTATCATTGACCTCCCTCGAGGTTTCATGTATTATCACTTAGATCCCCACACTTTTGAAAATATGCGTTTACCCCCCTCCCTATCCTTTAATGAAAATTTAATAACTCATAATTACGTTTAGCAAAAGTATAAATTTAGTTTTATAATTTTTCTCACTTGCAGATTTAATCTGCTGATACTTAATAAATTTACCTGTATTAAGAATCTTTCTACCAGAAAGTACTTTTTTTGCAGGAACACATAGTCCTTACTATTGACAAATTTATTAGGTACTTCAATACATCTACATGTTAGTAAAATTATAGAACTAGTAGCAAACACAATCGAAAAGTACAAACTTAAAACAATAAATATCTATTCCTTTTAAAAGTTCGAAAATATATCTGAGATTGTAGAAATCTTGGTGAAACTTTTCTAACGAGGGACAAATGCCTGATAACGAGGAATATTATTTTATACCTAAAATAGATGTTGATGAAGAACTTTTAGGAGACTATTGTTACCTATTGTTGATTCATATTGAAAGTGGTCAAAATACCTACTTTTGTGATTCATATAGGGAAGAACAAGGCCCATCTCGAGAATGGCCGAATTTTAAATTAAGAATTCAGATCGGGACCGATACCAGACCGGTGAAAAAGAGGTCTCGTGCCTCACTTTTTGGGATCGGGATTGGAGCCCTTGTTTTGACCACATTCATTTTTTTTCATTAAAACCATTGAGAATATTTTAAGATGAGTTATAGCCCATTTACAAGTTGAAAAATAGGTAGTTAAAATATTTGAATTATTGGGAGCGAATCTTGACCAATTAGGAGATTGGAACCGAATATAAGGTCATGGGTCGCCCTAATTATTTAGCACTAACTAGTTTGGGTGTGCAACCCGTCCTAAACTATAATTGCTTTACCAGTATTTTTACATGTAAACATGTTCATATTTTGTCAAATATTAATTTACAAGCTGTTATTATACCTATAATGATCTGATTTCTAGTGATAACAAAGAGTGTCTAGAGTGCAAATTGGAAATTTTCTTGCATTTAATTTTTAATGGTAAAATCGAGTAGTAAACTTCATTTTTGAGTGGGTTTGGTTCATTTAAGTTGATTTGTTTCAATTTTTGACAAATTTAGCGTATTTTGATCATTTTCAATTGAGTAAATTTACTAACTTTACAAATTGGGAAAACTATCAAATTAGCCCCCGTACTATGCCAAAAAGTCGATTAGGCCCTCGTACTTTACAAACACTCAATTAAGTTCCCGAACTATTAAAAACGTTCAATTAAGCCCTTTCGGTCAGTAAGTAACCGGTTTCTCGGTTAAACGGCGATAACGGTGATGATGTGCTCGAACCCTGGCAACGGCGGCTGTCGGGAAACGAGTTACATTTAACCGGGAAACCGATTACTTACCGACCAAAAGGGCTTAATTGAACGTTTTTTAATAGTTCAAGGACTTAATTGAGTGTTTGTAAAGTACGAGGGCCCCTGTATAAAGTGAAAGGACTAAAATGAACGTTTTTTAATTTCACGTTTGAACTATTCAATCAAGGACTAAAATGATGACCTCACTTTAATTGAACGTTTTATGCCTAAAATAAAACGAACTGCCTAAAGTGAGGTCAGTTTTTATTTTTTTTTTATTTTGTTCGACTTTTGATAAAAATGTATTTAGTATGAACAAATTTATTAATTACCCGACCAAATTTGTGATTGAATAAAATTACAGTATTAAAAGCGACATGCATAATGAAAGGTTATGAAATTATATATATAATTTGCTCTAAATATATATTAAGAGTTATTTAACCATCATTAATGGATAGGGAGGGGGGTAAGATTATATTTTTGATAGTATAGGGGTGTGATTGATAATCCATCAAATCTCAAGGGAGGTCAATGATAATTTCCCTATTTCAAAAGATCATTAGTCAAATGGCTCTGAATACAAATAGGAGCAGACACATACGTACTAACTTGATTTGAGATTCTAACATGTTCTCTAACTAAAACATGATCAACACGATTTGCAGACCGTTTACAATAAGAGACAACAAAACTACTCTTAGTAACTAACGATTTTGAATGTCATCAAAAATAAGATGGATATAAGAGCAACTATTTCCTTTACGGATACCATTAACCACTACAAGAGCATCTGACTCGATTTCCACCTCATTCCATCCTTCCTCGATTGCTTCTAATACTGCTTCCTTGAGACCAACAGCTTCAATCTCAGCTGCCGTCCAATTTGCACTAACCGAACCTCCCCTGACTTTCACAAAATTTCCTTCTGCATCTCTAGCTACCCAGCTCCAAGCTCGTATTTTCCTTGTTTATCAACCGCCCCATCAACATTTCTCGTGTCGTTGCTTTAAAATGCTCAACGGCAGAAATACTGTTGATTTTTATTAACCTATAAGCTTCCATCCTAAAATGTATCCGAGAATTGCGAAATTTCGGAAATTTTAATATAATGTAACACTTTGTTAATTATTTCATATTTTATTGGCGTGGAATTTCAACACCTCTCTCACTATCAGACACTTTGTCTGAATCGAACTGTCTTCATTTTTCATCAGTTTATCATTGTCATTTTTATAATCAGTTCGTCATTTTTCATATGAGCTGGTCACCATGAATATAGATTGATTTGACTATGATACAACATTAAGGTTTAGAGTTTTATTGTATGAGTAGGTAAAGATTTTAATATGAGTTGTGTTAGGTGTACACATTTTGATGTACACCTTTTGTACATTCGTCTGTCTCGCACACAAAAAGTTGTCTGTGGACAGACAACTTTGTCTGCGTAAGACAGAGTACAAAAAATGTACACAAAAATGTATACATCAAACATTTTTTCGTACGGACTAACAAACATAATCTGGAGACTCCAATTCTTCAATTTTATACGAATTGAAGTACGGAGTATATAAAGCTAGGTGCTGAGAGTGCGTGAAAATGGGATTGGGGGAGAGATTAAATGTATAAGAGCATCTCCAATGGGATGTCTATTCTCTTACACACTCTTACAATTGGGTCCCATTTTTTATCTCACAAATTTTATGTGTAGGACCTACATATCTCCTTATTTATTTTCATTTTCATTTTTTTATATCACTTCTAACCCATTTTTCATCCACTTTTGCTCCTCGATTCCCGTGTAATGTCTATTTTGTGGACATTGTCATAGACATTGTCTACAATTTACTCCTATCTCTCTCTTCCTTTTCATTTTTCCATACACACCACTTTCTCCATATTAAATTAAAATAATCATCCTATCTCTATCTCTCTCCTATGCCATGTAGGATAGACTTTACTCCAATCCACTACCCCAGGGATCAGAAGACTGTAGCTTGTCGGATTGATTGGCTTGCCAGATGGCCAGGACAAATGAATATTGGTCCTAGAACCCTTTCGCCAAATATATATACTAGTATTTGTCATTCGAGTACGTACAATTAAGGTATGTAGTTCTTGTTCGAGAATAATACAGATAAATCATTTTGAAAGAACTAGGAATGAAGTTAAAGGTAGCTTCATGAGAAGCCTGTGAGAGACATGGTGAATCCTGGGCAGGCCTGTACTTTCCCTACGTGAGAGGCAAACAATGTCTTATATTGATAGGTGTGAGATGTCACTTGACTGTATTTACCTGCCAAAAATATATTGATATTAGATGATACTTAATTAATGAAACCTTTTAGCATTTTAAGGGAGTGTTTGTTATAAATTAAAAAACGCATTTTTCAGCTTTTAGCTTAAAAAAATTTGAAAATGGTGTTTGCATTTAGCTACTTTTACTAAAAAAGAATACTTTAAAGCTAAAAGTTAGAAACTGGTTTAGGCTAGCTTCTAACTGCTTTTAGGTATTTTTGTAATTAAAATGAATTTCAGAGATGATTATAATGGCTAAGATTTTCTGTTGCTGCAAGTCTGGCACCCTGCTCCGCCATTTTAGACCACAATCAGAAGCTCTCTCCTCTTTTAATGTAAACTGTATCCGATATACACACACAGTTGAAGAAATAAGAAGCTCGGAACTCCATAATTTTACACCCGAGAAGCTCTCTCCTCTTATTACAATCAGAAGCTCTCTCCTCTCTCCTCTTTTGGTTGTAGATTACACTCCAAACAATTTGCTACTTTTCCAAGAAGAAATTGAACAGCGTTTTCAAAATATGAAAACGCGTCGTGGACAATTGTGCATTACTACTTTAATTTATTTATTAATGACAATATTTGCTTTTTTTTGCTTTATATGTGTATAGACTATATTATATACTCTCTCCGTCCCATTTACATTGTCCCGTTTTATCTTTTCGGGAAGTCCCACTTAAATTGTCTCATACCATATTTGGCAAAGTTTATGTGGCTCTAAATCATTCTTACTTTTTTCTTACTTTATCGATTAATATCAACCACACAAACTCACTTTTCTTAATAACTGTGCCACCCTCTTCCGTCCCAATATAAATGGGACGGAGACGGAGGTAGTAATACGTAGTAGTATTCTGCTTAAGAAAATAGTGCTTTGTTAAATTGACACCACTGACATTGATTCCTGGCTCCGTCCCTGATGACATGTCACTGTTACAACTAGTCAGTATGAATTGGTGGCAGGGTATAATGGTCTTCTTGAAAATGTTTAATCTCTTTTACGGAAGATTAAAGACTAATGTCTTTTTTTGTCCATTTCTTGATTTTAGTAATATTTTGGTCTTAACGCCATTTTTTTTGCATACGCTCGTGTTAGACCTAGTACGTAGCTGCTTAAAAATAAAGCGTACGTAAGTCGTCTTAACTCTTAATTAGAATTGTTTTGGGACTTGTTTTACTATGATAACGAGGCATTGTCTTAATTAGCCATGGATTATCAAATTAATTTAAAAGTTGAATTTGGTAATCCCTCATGAACAGGGATGGATTTAGGGGGGCGACTGCCCCCTTGGACTTTCAAATTTTTCTACCATATTACCATATACTCCTTCCGTCTCGCTAGTAACTTCCTACTTTAACCTACACACATATTTAGGAAATAAATTTGACTTTACTGTTTAGACACTGTTTGGCACTGTCTAAACACTGTTTGGCACTGTTTAGAAACTGTTTGGCACTATTTTGCACTATTTAACATTGTTTTGATGTAGGATAACTTTCCATTTAGGGAAATGTTAAGATGATTTTGGGACGGCCCAAAAAGGAAAGCAGGAAGTTAATAGCAGGACGGAGAGAGTATATAATATTTTCATAAAATTTTGATATTCTAATTAGATTCGCCCCCTTAACTTGTAGTTTCGAAATTAATACATAGTCTCACATAATGTAATACTTAATTGGAGATATAAAAGTAGGAACATCTAAAATAATTTATTTAACTCAAACAAATAAACAATAGAACAACTAATTGTTTAAGACTTAGGATACTTATTATATAAAAATAAGAAATTGCCCTAAATGGGACTAAAACATTGCTTAAACTCCAAATTAGGACTTCAAGTTTGTTATTACCTAAATGGGACTAAAGATTACCGTTTTACCCTTATAACTTAAGATGACGCGTGACTCTCCTTATGCCCTCTCTCCAATCGATCGCCGATTTCTTCCATTCGACCTCCATGGGCTGGAACTCATCTGTCAGCAATTGCTTCATCTACAGCTCTGTCATCCACCATAGCCACGTACCACACCACCACCACCTGTCGTAATCCTCTTCCCTTCTTCTTCAGCCAAGTCAGGTGGGTAATCTTCGTTCTTCCCTTCTTCTTTTTCTACTTCTTCATTTCCTTTTTCTTCTTCTTTTTTCTTCTTCTTGGATTTGAATTTTATTTATTAATTTGAAATATGAAAGTATTAAAATCCCAAGTTTAGTACGGAGTATATGTCTTGCAGACCTCCAATGAAAATGTCAAGAATAATGACTTGATGATGGAAGTTTCGTATAAAAACATGACATTCTTTGTTGTAAAAAGTATGAATTTTTAAAATGAAAATTAATGACAATTTAAGGATGAAAATTCTAACATCATTTGGAGAACATGTCAAAAGACATGTCATTTCTAATAACAAGTAACTATGTCATTCTCAGATAAGTCATAAAAATGCCATAAAATGTCATAAGAATGACATTTTTTATGGAGATATGACATTTCCAGATTGTCATCTTGATAAATATACTGCCACAAATGTGGCAGATTTTTCAAATAATCAATGATTTTGACATTCTCATATATATTATGAAAGTGACATTTTGTTGAATAAATACAATTCAAATTAAATAAAAAATCAAAACCAAAAAATTCAAATGTTATGGGTGTTTAGTAATTCGTTGAAACTTATTAGCTCCAATTTCATATTTTTAGTGTAGAATCTTAAAAGTTCATAAATTAGAAGAGAAGATAAAACCAGACAAAAGATGCCCTGGAAGAAGAACAAGAGAAGGCTTATCGTGTCAGCTCACGGGGGTGGGGGTGGCGGTCTGGCAAAAGGGCGGCAACTGTAGCAGTTTGATGGATACGGCACCTGGAAGGTTTGTGTAGCAGTTCTGCGATGCGGATTGGAGTTTTAATATTAAGGGTAATTTGGTCAAGCTAGTATATTTTAGTCCTATTTTTGTTAAATAAAACATAGTAGTCCTATTTTTGCAATTATACCTTGTTTTAGTCTTATTTAGGTAAATCTCTCTATAAAAATTCCTATTTTTGATGTTTAATTATCTTTATTAGGATACTAGTACTTGATTTTGTGAAATATATATCAAACGATATTAAATACCAAACACACTAGTATATTTAAATGTCGTAGTGCATGTATTAATGAATTTTTTTAAATGAAAATAGCCTCAGAGCCCTACACTAGGGAAAAATTTTGCCCCGCTAAACTACCGAATAAAATTCCTCCCGCTACACTAGCGAAAAAAATTTCACCCCTACTCTAATGAAAATTTTCGCTGCCTTTGAATCGAAATCCTGAATCCGTCCCTGCTCATGAGTCATGAACCATATATGTTGCATGAAAAAGATATAAAAAAAGGTTAAGCTTTGTCTGGGATTGTTTGCTCAAGATTATAGCTATTTGAGATTAATTGTTTATCTACCTAATAATGAACAATTGCTAATAAAGTCAAGGCTAGCAGAGTTTAGAAGAAATATAATGTGTTCCTCCGTAGTAATCAGGGCATATCAAAAGGGTTGTGCATGCACCTAGCTAGCCAACCTAGGAATTAAAGTACCATGGATTTAAAATACTAATTACGAGCCAAAAGTTACTTCATTTGGCATATTAACATCTTCTAAACCTTGAAATATATATAGATACTGATTATACATTTCCCCTCAAATTTGAAGAACATGAGACGTACTCTAGCAATTAATGGTGTACGTTATACATGCACTACATATTTAAATGTGTAAATGAATTATACATAGTATGAGTAATTTGAAGCACTCAGAAGTACTTTTATAGTTTCAACCTAACATTTCAATATCTGTTTTTGCTCTCTGAAGGAGCACAATCAGTTTTAAGAAAAAATAGATTGAAACAACTCTAACTTGAATTCTTGACTTAGTTTTATAATTAGCTTTTGAAATGACTTTCATATATACTCGATCATGTCGGTTTTGAACGTATAGTACATCTGTAAAACTAATAAACTTGCTTAAGAGCGGCGCTCGTTATAAATCATTAAATTCAAAAATTGTCCTTAAACAACTATTTAAATGTTGCACATTTATAAATTTTATCATTGCGAAATAATTATATGTCTCCACGCGAATTGATAGTTGTTTATGTATTGATTAGGAACAAGCACGTTAGATTAGCTTACTAGTTACTACCGAATTAATGATGTACGTATATGGTCCCGACACTTAAATTATAATTAAATAAATGTCACTAGCTCGATACTTCTATTGTCAATTACCATCATAGAAACGGAGTAGTAATTTATAGAAGTTGAAAGGTATGGAAATATAAATAATACTTGGGTCACTGTCTAAACATTACTGTCTGACGAATTAAAGTTCTTCATTCAATATATGCTTTGATACTTTTCAGTAATTAGAACTTGGAGAGCTTCCACACGGCTTTATCCGAACATGGAAAACAAAATTATTTGATTTCAATCCACAATGGATTAGTGTACCATTAATATTAAAAGTAGTCAAACATTGCGTCAAACTTTCATCTCTTATAATTAATCAAGCAAACAACAAATTGTCAAACCAAATATATAGTTTTGCGTAGTTTAGAATTCACAACAACAAATTTAGGTGATTTGTATTGTTAAAATTATTACTTTAAAGTGTATATGGGGTGCCAATCCCCTTGTGATTGGGTGATATATATAACTTTGAAACTCCTAATTTTGGTTGTAAATGAATCAAATAATTTGTGCGATTCGAATTCATATAAGACGATTCGAATTCGGAAAATTCAAATACAAATACAAATAAGAATATTAAATTTGATTCGAGTTGTTATCAATACAAATAAGAATATCAGTGTATTCGATTCGAATATGAATCAAATATATTCGATTAATAATAATGGTAATATTAATATCAATAATAATAATAATAGTGATAACACTATAATAACTTTTAAAAGATAGAAATACCCTCAAAGTGTTGCCCATATATACATTTTTGCATACGGACTCCAAGCTCATTTGTAATAAACCAGAATATAAATACGAATACAAATCATTTTTTGGTTCAAATGTCTTTCAAATACAATACAAATAATTATGTATTCGATTTAAAGAATAAAATTATAGTTGTTTGACTTTGATATATACATTTATCAACTTATTTCACACATTATAAGCATGATTTCTAATACATGTATGTTAGTGTTTATTTCAAAAAGTTTGAAATAGATTTATATTTATTAATCATAAAATTAATTCACTTTACTATATTGTGCACCGTCTAAAATGCATTGATCCATTAAATTTAAATTCTAAAAACATATACTCCATTAAGTCATAGCATGCATTTACAACATAAAAAAATACGGAGTATAAGAAAAGTTATTTTAAAAGTGTTATTTGGCTAATGTTTAACTTATGCTCAAATCGATTCAATATTCGTATATGATTCGTTAACTATTCGTATTGTTAAACAAATACAAATCGAAATTAATATTCGTTTCATATTTGAATTCGAATTCATATCCGAAAAAATTAAACAAATACAAATACAAAATGTCATTATTTGACTCGATTTGATTCGTTTACAACCCTGCTCCTAATGAGGAGGTTACAAGTTCAAAATTTTTCCGATAAAAAATGTTACCATTTAATAGAACATATACTATAATGCGAGAAAGTAGCGCGCGTAAAAGAAAAAAGTTTGGAAACCATTAAAATACAGAGATGGTGGACCGGTGGCAACACATAATTTTCAAATCACAGCCGGTTAATTAATGAGTAAAATTTACCAAATACTCTCTCAGTCCCAATTTGTAAGATATGTTTCCTATTCACTTGGTCAACATAAATCACTCTTAATCTTTTACTTTATAGATCAAAATTTTATGAAATTTGAATTATTTTTTGCAGGCTAGCGATTTTAATGTAATTTCTCAATATATAAATTTTATTTTCTAAAACTAATTTGAACATTGACAGATACTCCCTCCGGTTTTTATTAAACTTCACACTTTCCTTTTTGGGACGGTCTAAAATAAACTTTACACTTCCTTATTTCCTTTTTTGGCAAAGAAATCTACATCAAAATAGTGTCAAACAGTGTCAAACAGTATCTCAACAGTGCCAAACAGTGTCTCAACAGTGCCAAACAGTGTCTCAACAGTGCCAAACAGTGTCAAACAGTGCCTCAACAGTGTACTCTACAGTAAAGTCAAATTTCTTTCCTTATTTTGTGTGAAGTCAAAGTGTGAAGTTTAATAAAAACCGGAGGGAGTATCAATTAACTTTATTGTCTTACAAATTGGGACAGATGGAACACGTAGTAACACAATAAGGTAACTGCATTTTGAAGACTCCAATACATGGCTATTTCGGGCCAGATGGGTACGAAATTAGCTAGTTGGTGAAGTGGTTGGTTTGTAATTTAACAAAAAAGGTAAGATTAGAGAGAGAAAGGCTCCAAAACATTGTGATAAGACAAGGGACAATATCGTGTTAAATCAAATTGTGAGTCGTTCTAGCAGGAAACTTCCTACGTCTCAACTTTGTTCTCCAACTACTATACATTACATCTATACATTACATTGATGGGCGATTGCTCATGTTTGACGGAAAATTCTTAGTGTACATGAGTTCTATACAAATTGTACACAAAATCTTCTAGTTGTCTGTGTACACATGCAATTCGTTCAAAAAGGGGCAGAATTTGATGTCAAATTGTTTGTGTACACATGCAATGTACACATTTTGTATACAACTTGTGTACACCAAGAATGATCCATATTTTGACCCAAAATGCCAAAGAAATGGAAGAATATTTTAAGAGTTGTTTTTTAGTCCGGCAAACCGCAAACGAAAACGAAAACAAATCTTATAATTAATTTTTTTAATTTTTCAGGTATGTATAAGTAATTTCTCCTTGTGAAATACTAAAATATATAATGCCAATTTAATTTTTTAAATTAAAATGACAAAATATGCCACATTATTAATTTAATTTCAGTATCACTGATTCACTAGTACCGGTCGAGCGCTTCAGGGCTTGTTTGCAATCACTTAATTTAAGTGATTGTGACTTTTTTTTAAGAAAAAAACACTTATTTTACCAAATAGTACCAACTTTTACTTTTCTGGTCTTCCGTGTAGAATCTACTTTTTACTTTTTCTATTACACAAAAAGCACTTATTTTACCAAACACTATCAACTTTTACTACTAATCACTTTTTCCCAAAAAGTGCTTTTATTTAAGCACAATCACTTGCAAACAAAGCCTGGATGACTCCACACAAAACGTTTGAGAAGTAAGGCTCGATATGGACCTTATAGACTCTAGTGCTCGATCCGCAACTCAAATATTCTTGTTTAGAAGTGATTGGTCGAGTCCTATTTTTTGGAGAACATACGGATGCTTAAAGTAAATAAATGTAATACGTTATACTCTTAGAGAATTTAGTTGCATAACTATTACTCAACTATGTTCTATAATCTCATTCCAAAATCCTTCACAAACTTACAAATTTGCGTGTTCCGTAGCCTAATCATAAACAATTAGTTCATAAAATATTAGCAAGTCAAATTATTACGGTAGTAATATAAGCTGAGACATTTCCCAAAATAGGAATAAATGGAGTTTAAAGTTCCAAAATAGGACTACTATTTTTTTATTCCCGAAATAGGACTATAATGGCAGTATTTACTGCCATCTTGTAGGCGTGACTGCCAAATAGTTGTGGTACAGTGCATGACAGTATTTATTACTCCCCCCGTCCCCTTAAGTTTGTCCCGTTTTACCTTTTTCGTCCGTCCCACTAAGTTTGTCCCATACCATATTTGGTAATATTTGAGTGGTTAGAATTCATTCTTACTTTATTTACACTTTATCAATTCAATATCAACCACACAATTCCACTTTTTCTTAAAAACCACACCACACCCCTCCGTCCCAAACTTAGGGGGACGAAGGGAGTATAATTAATGACAACATTTTTCAATCAATGCAGTATTT